GGCTGTTAATTATCAAACACTTAATACTGCGACAGCAAGTAGTTAGACACTAGAAAATGTTTAATTGATGTGCATTGTTAATATGTCGTTTAATGATAATAATAATAATAGTGTTATTAATAATAACGGTAATTAAGGTGATAGTTCATCGAAAAATGTAAATACATGTATAAATCGTGTAAACAATTAGTGATAAACTGAACGAGTACAACGAAGTTGAATATCATTACACAAATAATAATAGTAAACACCACATGAAACGCATACACATGTCGAGAAAAACATAATGAATTTATCAATATCAGTAGTACACACGAAATGTGTTTTTTAAGAAAAAAATTGCTTGCAAAAAAATATTATTAGTAATTCTGTTAATATAGATATTTAGTCACATTATAGAAAATGACAGAATAAAGATTAAGTAATGAATTCAACATAACGTTTGGGAAAATGTACGTGTCTTCCTGAACGAGTTGTTTTTGTAGAAGGTAAAGTAGCGGAACTAGGAGGTAAATTTGTAGGAGCTGTAACCTTAGAACCGTCTGTTTTACGAAGTATTGATTTCGTAGAACTAGGTGAAGAATTATTTGAAACACTGAAAGCTACGTTGTGCGACTGCTGCTGTCTTTAGGCAGCTTTCGGCTGTCATGTGTTTCAGATTCTATAAAAGCAGGTTTTATCCTGTCAGTTGAAACTATTTCTTTCTTTTTTATTGTAATCTTTCGATGTACCGCGGAGTGTTGGGTCGAGTTTTCACTATAATCCGTTTCCGTCATCTTGGGAGTGTAGGTAAAATGCTGGTGAATATATCATTTACTTGGGTGTCAACTTTAATACTATGTATGTGATGGTCCGACTGAGTTCCCTTTACTTGAAGCTTCGTGCAGGAATCGACAAGTTTTCTTCTTTTAACGTCAACTATTAAGTTGTAGAAGCTTAGAAAATCTGCACCTAATATAGGGTGGCGGACATTAGCAATAATGAACACCCAGGTTAAATGTCGTTTAATCCCCAAGTTTGATGTCATGAGTTGTTCGCCAAATGTCCTTATTTTGGTTTTATTAGCTGCCTGTAGAGTAAATTTTTCATTCTTATCAATGGGTTTTTTTGGCTAAGGTAAGTGGGACGGACGCTGACTTGAGCTCCGGTATCTACTAAGAATTTGTACCCTGAAGTTTCATCAAGAACATGGAAAAGGCGAGTAGGAGCATGACCAGAAACATTTGTCACTACCATGGTTTGGCTGACACGTTTTGGTAAGAAAAATGACTTGAAAAATTTACAAGACGTAACACATTTCCTAGCTTTGTCACCATATTTATATGGTATCAACATATGTGGTCGTCATTTTTATTTCCTTTTGAGGTGTCTCGGTTCTTACTCCCCCGAAAACTGGAGCGAGGCCTTCGAGATGTGAAATAAGAAATTAATAATTGTAATGCATCTAGTTTGTTTTCGAGACTGGCAATGGTTCGTTCGTGGTGTGCTCGTAGTTCGCCTAACTCAGCTGTTAACGACGCTGTGGTAAGAGTTTGCCGGAGCTCAAGTCAGCGTCCGTCCCACTTACCTTAGCCAAAAAAACCCATTGATAAAAATGAAAAATTTACTCTACAGGCAGCTAATAAAACCAAAATAAGGACATTTGGCGAACAACTCATGACATCAAACTTGGGGATTAAACGACATTTAACCTGGGTGTTCATTATTGCTAATGTCCGCCACCCTATATTAGGTGCAGATTTTCTAAGCTTCTACAACTTAATAGTTGACGTTAAAAGAAGAAAACTTGTCGATTCCTGCACGAAGCTTCAAGTAAAGGGAACTCAGTCGGACCATCACATACATAGTATTAAAGTTGACACCCAAGTAAATGATATATTCGCCAGCATTTTACCTACACTTCCCAAGATGACGGAAACGGATTATAGTGAAAACTCGACCCAACACTCCGCGGTACATCGAAAGATTACAATAAAAAAGAAAGAAATAGTTTCAACTGACAGGATAAAACCTGCTTTTATAGAATCTGAAACACATGACAGCCGAAAGCTGCCTAAAGACAGCAGCAGTCGCACAACGTAGCTTTCAGTGTTTCAAATAATTCTTCACCTAGTTCTACGAAATCAATACTTCGTAAAACAGACGGTTCTAAGGTTACAGCTCCCACAAATTTACCTCCTAGTTCCGCTACTTTACCTTCTACAAAAACAACTCGTTCAGGAAGACACGTACATTTTCCCAAACGTTATGTTGAATTCATTACTTAATCTTTATTCTGTCATTTTCTATAATGTGACTAAATATCTATATTAACAGAATTACTAATAATATTTTTTTGCAAGCAATTTTTTTCTTAAAAAACACATTTCGTGTGTACTACTGATATTGATAAATTCATTATGTTTTTCTCGACATGTGTATGCGTTTCATGTGGTGTTTACTATTATTATTTGTGTAATGATATTCAACTTCGTTGTACTCGTTCAGTTTATCACTAATTGTTTACACGATTTATACATGTATTTACATTTTTCGATGAACTATCACCTTAATTACCGTTATTATTAATAACACTATTATTATTATTATTATCATGATTATTATTATACATTCCGGTATTGGTAATAAACCTTTTATATACATTAAAAGCATGAACCACAATGCTTTTTTGTTTCTCTTTACTACAAGAGAAACATTTTGGTTCGTAAATATGTATACACGTGTGAATTTTTTTGATAACATTTGTTTATCCTTTTCGTTGTGTAATTTGCTTTTGCTCCAAAGCATTTAGAGTTTTACGTCGGACATACTTCCACCGACGCATGCCCTAGGGGGGGGAGTTATATGGTGACGTATATTCAGTGATTTTTGTAAAGCCAAAAGAAAAACCGCATTTTCTCTCTAATTTGTCACACTTTATATGTAACCACATTTTTATTCAATATCTGTTGTTTTTCTGTATCACTGGTTTAAAAAAACGATGTTAATTATTTTGAGGATTAATATACAAATTTACTACTACTGCGTTGGTTAAAATATAAAACGCTATCTACGGCGTTTGTTCTTCTGCTTTATTGGCCACGGTTTTTGATTGAAGACTATAATAGTGTTATAACATCCTTTTAGGCCTTCTGACACTACGTTGGACTTTTGACACGTATTATTATTATATAATAGTATTGGACTTTGTCTTTCTATATACGCCGTTGGTGCAATCACTTGCAGAGGAATCTTCATCAATCAAGTGAACTCATTTGTGGTTGTTATTTTCACGAGGTAGCTTACAAGTAACATTCATTCTATAATAACTGTTATTATCTGTTTGTTTAATATACCATTTGTGTTCTAACTGTATTTTGTTACCCTTGGTTTTACTTACAGACAGACACCTAGGGTTTTTACTGTTAACTCTCTTGGTATATCATTATTAGTAACCTTGTGTATTGATATATCTTGTATAAGCTCCTTTTGCTGGGAACCACCACACGGCGAATATTCGCTGTTCCTTTCAAAAGAAACAATCTTTACCACGATATTGCCTAATTTATTGTTTAAGGGTGAAAACCTTAGGAATTGGCATGTCATATTATAGAAACAGGGGTAACAGTTCTATCGTCTAGTCAAATATACATTCTCACTGGCGTATCTAAATCTTGCTACGAGAATCGTGATGGTGGGGTAAATTGTGTGACGCCGTGCAATAACTGACTTTATTTATCTCAACAAACTGCATACAACCCACGTGGACTTTTGCATACGTCTGCCTGTTGGTTTTTTAGCATTACATGCTACCTTGCTTAGTCGTTACATAATTTAAAAATTATTATGTTACTATAAAGTTTAGGAATCTATCATGAAATACTGTAAGGCTTACTAGTTTAAACGTTATGGAAAAAGAACATCTGAGGTTTCATAAGTCCCTTGTTTAGCTGGGGGATTGTGTGATCTCTCATCTGTCGAAGCCAATTAAAATATATCATCTATGGGTAGTGCTATTAAGGACCTTGAACAGATCTTATACAGACTATATAAAAGATTGACTTCTTAAACTCAACGGATAAATCTCTTCAACTCAAACTTAAATATAGTTCGTAAGAGTTGTATTTAGTGTAATACCAGATTTGTCTTACTAAAAGCAGTTAAGATCACGCTGTCCATATTTATATTTCAAATTAATTTCCATCACGACAGTCTGTCTGTTCAAATTCCGTCGGGGATATATCTTACAAGATTAAATAGCGTGAGTGTAGCTCTATATATTTGCTAACATCAACGAACTATGTAAGCCATGAAATTCGTACTCTTATTTGTGGTAAACTATCACCGTAGATTATGTATTGGGTCCACAATGTGTAATTCAGTAACAATAAAAAAATTTAAACTTCTTGAATACTACCTCACTAAGGGATAATATTCAGAAGTACTTTTGTGTAACTAAACACCACCTTTGATTCATTACGTCCTATGTGGGATGACTCATCTCATTTCACCTCAATATGGGTAAGATACCTTTAGCGACCAAAGCCAATTCTAGCACACATTCAATCTGCTAGTGGCTACAACCGTTCATGTCAAGACTCTTTATAGTACACAAAAAACGCATCAGATTATACCCTTCAATGTCTAACGTGGCACTTATTCGTATTCTATGAATCACGAAATAGAGCAGTGTGTTAGTAATTAAACTAGTCAAATTTTAATCACTGAGTTGCCTATTTGATCTCTATTTCCCTAACTCTGATTTATCACTGTGACTAGTATCACCAGCTCACCACCAAAATTATGGTTTATGGTCGAAACTAAATACTTTTAGTTGGTTACATTTCTAACTCATTAGATTAAGTCAGAGGAGTAGAAGTCAGTGCTCGTGAAGATTATGTAGTATGCATTGAAATCAACCATGTTAATCTTATTATGTTCACCTCATATATTTTCACAAAATGTCAACATTAACATTTTATATATTTCAAAGAGTTTTGGATTTCCAGATTTTAGACCAGATGAAGAAAGTAGACAAAAATGAATCAAAGCCAAAGGTTTCAGAATATTTGCCTAGATGTGGTGTTACTGTTGATTTATATTATCCAGAGCAAATGTCAATAGATCAACTGCTAGAAATATTTGAACGTCGAGGTTTCAAATCTCTAGTGAGTTAATTGCTGTGTAATCTGGCTTTATATACTATTAGTTCGAAATTTCCGTAGAATATTCAAGCTTCCATTAGGTTGCATAAACCTAATATAGAGGACGACTGAAACCTGCGACAAAGTACTTAAAAGCTTGATGCTTATTATCAGTATATCACAGAGAAAGTGTCAAAGGCAAATGAATCCCATGTATTTGAATGGGTAGCTCGTGAATTTTTTCAAAACTAATCCACCATATACAAATCTGAGTACTTTTCTTCAAGTCACGTTAATTGTGAAGGCTGGTGTTGTTACCCTGTCCTGTAAACTGGTGTAGATAGAGCGTGGTTTGGACCTCCAACTTAGTGGCTGAAAGTCGAACATCACTGCTCATGAATTAGAGCCGGATCAACTCCTTGTCTAACTTTTGCTATCGCTGCCCACCAGTTTAAGTAGTGATTATTATCGCATATGCCCAAATTTACGGTCGCTAAGAATTAATATTAATAAAGCCAACTATTTTGTTTCCTGATATCAAAATAAGTATTAAATGAAACCCATTTTAAGACTAAAGTCTTAAATTTAAGAAGTGTGAAAAATCAAATATGTTCAAAATCATTTCAAAAATATTGGGATCCTAGTCTCGTAGGATTATCTTTTACGCGTTGAGTGTCTCCGGTTTCACACGTTAATGGTAAGTTTTTGATTAGTCTACAATGTAGTTCTATATAAATTGCGAGACGTTATTTCCTAGAAGACAATTATCACTATCAGGTTACTTGGTAATAATCTTGAAAGCTTTATAAAACTGCATTGGTTTATATAATGCTCTTCTAGTAATTATTTGTCACTTTCTTCAAGTCCTCACAAGGAATTTAGGTATTTAGGATCCATAACTGGTTTATAGCATTGTAAAATAATTTATTCGAACACAGATATTGGTACAAGGGGGCACCAAAATACATATGTGCCACACAAATCTCATTTGATTTGTGTGAGGGATGTGATAGTGCCCGGGTGACCAAACCGAGGCAGGTGGTTTTCTAATGAGGCCACACCCGGAGCCTTAGACCCAAAGGTCTGATCCACAGGGCAGTGGAGCAACGTTAGGAGATGCAGTCTCATGGTAGCAGGTGACCAACGATTGGTTCATACGTTATTTGTTCCCTCAGGATACTGGGGCCCATGTGCACCATTTGTTTGAAACCAAGGTTTTCTAACTCCCTTAGGTGAATCCCCCATATCCACCACCTCAGTGAGAGCGCTGGACATTCGTTTTTTGTCGTCTCAATTTCGCAAACAACACCCGTGGTGCGAAAAGGCAATGAGTAGGACTTCCCTTGGAGTGGCTGTGTATGCATTTCGAGAGGGAGAGTGTTCTCCCCCCAATCTCGGCCGTACTTACATTATACATTATAGTCTCAGAGATGAAATAATTGATGTTTTTGAACTGGTGCATATATAATCCCTATGGTTTTCTGAAACTTCAACTAAGTACTGAATGACTATGATTGGAATTATAATGAAACTAGAACTCATTATTTTAACTTCTAATTATTTGATATGAATTATTTAACTTATTCTGTCTTTTATTTTGACGACTCTCTATGGTATGTAACCTAGAATTATAACAACATAAACTTTATCCGATCGTCATTCAGTTTGGAAGAAAAAAACCCGGGGGTATCAGGGAATAATGGTAAATCAGTTGACGAGGTTGTGAATTTCCATCGACTGAGATGGTTGGGTCATGTGTTGAGTATGCGTGAACACCGATTACCACGACGTGCAATGCTAACCGGTGTTGGAGATGGGTGTATGTTATATCCAGTCCTTATTACTTATCAATAATATTGTACTTTGTTTGATTAATAATTCCAAATTTCTCTATTTAACTAATTCCTTTTTTCTTTATTTGAAAAAGTAGGTATCCAATGTAAATACATTAGAACATATTGTAAATCTTTATTATGATCATGTTATGCCAAAATGTCATCGAAATGAATGGATTGATGAATTCATTGAATCTACAACTATCCATCCTTCTATTGATGATGATGACGGTGATGACGATGACGATGACGGTGATGATGATAATAATAATAATAAGAGTAATTTGTCAAAAGAAAAAATGAACTTAAATGATAAAATCACTAAACCTAAACGAAATATAGATCATCATTTAGATCATTTAATTATTACTTATGATGAAAAACGATTTACTCCTCATTGTTCTATTCAAACTTTATCATCAAAAGAACATCATCAGTTCATATGTAAAACATCGAATAGTTTACATCAAGATAATGATCATCATAGTAAACTATCATCTTCTCATTCAACAATCAATGAGAACTCTTCAAATAATTCTAAATTCAATGATCATTCATTGAAATCAATGAAAAAACGACCTAAAATTAATCGTAATTTTGAAACTCTTACAAATAATATTTAATTATTTGTATATGTAAATGATGTTGTACTATCTTATCCTAATAAATTTATTCTATCTTTTACAATGAATGGATTGTTTTGTTTTAAAAGAAACTAAACTGAAAAGGAAGAGTAACACATATGTTTGGTGAATAGGCTGATAAAATACAGAGTCTTTTGGTAGCACTAAGCAACAATGCCAAAATGTTTGGAATGTGCTTCTCTTCCTCTAAATGCAACTTGTTGCTTTAGGAGTGGTCTGAGTCAACACCTGAACTAAAGATAGGAAGTGAAGTAGTTGAACGCGTTGACAACTTCACTTATCTTAGAAGTCTGATCAGCCCTAGTAGGTTGGTGTCTGACGAAATCTCAGCACGGATTCGAAAAGCTCGTTTGGCTTTTGCCAACTTACGTCACCTTTGGCGGAGGCGAGATATCCATCTTTCAATTAAGGGACGAGTATACTGTGAAGCAGTTCGTTCTGTTTTAATTTACGGCAGCGAAACATGGCCCTTAAGAGTAGAAGACACCCGTAAGTTACTAGTATTTGACCACAGATGCCTTAGAAATATTTCTGCCATCTGCTGGGATCATCGGACAAGTAACAGCGAGGTTAGATGCAATGTATTAGGGAATAATGGTGGTACATCAGTTGATGAGGTTGTGAATCTTCATCGACTGAGATGGTTGGGCCACGTGTTACGTATGCCTGAACACCGATTACTACGACGTGCAATGCCAACCGGTGTTGGAGATGGTTGGAAGAAAGTTAGGGGCGGCCAAACCAAAACGTTGCATCAATGCTTGAAGTGACTAACTTCTAGCCCTAACCATGTTGGTAGATGCAGACTACTTGGTTGGGGTCCGCGTGACTATCGTAACCAATGGTTGGAGAATCTTGGTGACATGATTCAGAATCGATCACAATGGTATAGGTGTATACACTCTCTGTCATCCCTTAAACACTGATATTAAAATCGCTTCATATCTTTCTTTCGACGAACTAATTCTTTCTTCCTATACTATATCCTTATATACAATCTTTCTTTTATATATTACTATCACCATTGAATTAACTAGTTCTATGAATCCGGTGTTCATCTTGTTGTGCTAATGCGGTATGGCAACCTGGACCGATGAATATATGTGCCTGGTCCTACGTTGTAATTGACTGAACACATATGTAAATATATACTTGAGGAATTCTTCCTGTGGCTCTTCTACAATTAGTACCGGTTTCAAACTTGGGTAAACCGAGAGGGTTGGATATGGGAGGGGGGGTTAGCGACCTCATCTCGTGGAAAACTAACTCGTTAAAAAAACAAAACGCTAACCAAGAAAGTAATACTTGAAGTGTAGTGAACAAGAACACTAGTGGGGATAATCGAATGTATTTGAACACAAAATTACAGAGCATTTCAATAATATCTGAGAACCATATAGTAAATAGTTATATATTGCCGTTATATACTACCACAGAAGGATGAAGGAAATTGAATATATAAAAGTTACTTACAATTATATCTGAGTAAATAGTGACCGAACAATTTGTCTTGGTTACTTCTAAATAAACTGAATAACTGAGGGTTAGTTTAGAAGTTACAACATCTGAATTTCAAACATTACATCATACGTTCAAACTTCACCTTATTTGTAATAATTTACACAGTTGGTTAGTATCACTAGTCTTCAAACGAGAAAAAAAAAGACTGTTGCTTAAAGCTGTTTATGTAATTCGTGAGTTACATTAGCGAACTGATCATTATGTAGACATCCTGATTGTTTCAGCGATCATATTGAATGATTCATCTGAATATCGTAACAAAGTTTAAAGGGTTAATTTCTTAATACCTTGAATATTCTGATTCGGAACTATAGTAATAGAATGATCTAGTGTTGCTGTTATTTTCTAAAAGCTTATACCTTAGTGATTTATGAAATAAAACTGTCTACATTCTTTTGCATAATGTTTTAAGGGAATTATTCTACACTTTATTAGTAGTAGTATATGTACAGTGTTGAAGTGATCTTTTGAAACCAGTGTTTACGGATATTTTAATCAGAACCATCGAGTAAGCAATGCTTAAGTTAGGATTGAGATGGTAGATCTTGATTAGCTGAGATGGTTGGAACATGTGTTATATATGCTCAACCACCTGTTACCTTATTGGGGGCGATATCAACTAGTGTAGGGTTTGGTTGAAAGGATGATATGGGTGGCCAAACCGAAACATAGGATCAATCCTTCAGGTCAATAACACATGGACTTAGCCATGTTAACAGGTGTAGACTACCTGGTTGAGGTCTGTCTAATCATCATAACTAATGGTTAGAGACTTTGAATGACATGTGTCAAAATCGTTTAGAATTGCACCGGTGCAAGTTTCTGAATTGCTCATAATTATGTTTTAATTTACAGATTTGTATTTTTTTTGAATCATATATTCGATGCCTAATCTTTTATATTACCACTACAACTGCTACTACCGCAGTGCCTTTGCTTCGTTAATCGATAACCGTTATATTAAATATCCCAACAGTGTTTAAAATCAGAAGGCAATAAGAAAGGCAACTACAGTTTATTAACGGATAGCGCAGATCACAAAGCTATAAGCAAATAGAGCCCATTTGGAGGGGACAGGCGAATAAGTATATGAGAGGAATTACATAGGCAAATTTATAGTTAAATTGCATAAGGGCGCAGTTAGGTAAAGGCTAATAATAAGACTTGAGATCATATATACATGAGGAAGAAAATGAATCATGAAGTGATATTTAAACATTCAACACTTAAGCTCGAGTTTATCATGTGATCTAATGATCATAACGGTACAAAGACATATGTGGATTGTTACTATTCGAATGACATAGTATGTTAAGTAAGTTAATAAAAGGTATTAATCAAAATTAGCCATAATCGAAATTGGTTGTAAGATAGTTACTATACTACTACTTTCACTATTCTAGGATTTTATCCAACAATTTTATATCTCAGTGCTGATAGTATATAACATTATGAACGGACGTGTATACGTACCAGGTTGAACGTTACGTTTGATTGACTGATCAACTGAAGAGAAATTGAAATAAATCTGTAATCGCCAGGATATACATATCGTTTGGATAATATTCATGCTATTCTTGTTAGTGGAACAGTGATTAATTAAACCAATCAATTCAATTTAGTCTCAGGTCCAATGCACATTTCGATAAGTGTACCTTAATATCACCAGGGGGATTTAATACCAGTTATGTATAGGTGCTTAATCGATAAGTAAAACAGTTATGTAGGAAAAGGTTGGGAGAAAGCTGGAAGCGGCCAGACCAAAACATGGCACAAGTCCATAAGTACATTGACAAGTAAACTAAGCCATATTGGTAGGTGCAGACTACCTGGTTGGGGAATGCGAGATGATAAAAAACGATTGTTAGAGACCTTGAATGACATTGGCTCAAAATCGTTTGCAATGGCGCAGGTGCACCAACCTTTTGTGTTCTCCCAAATTCTAATCTTCTGAATTCTTCATGTCCCTTTATTTTTTTCTCTTTCCAAATTTATTTCACTAGATTATACTCCTTGAATAACAACTTTAAACCATAATCTTTCCGACCACTGCTTATGCTTTTATTACTTCGACCACTATTTGGTTTGAATCGACAAGTTCATCACTGTGTTAATGTGGTGTGGCAACTCGAACTGATGTATGTACGTACGAACTTGTACGTTCTTACCAACTGACTGACTGACAAAGGATGAATACTACAAAATAGAATACTACTCTACAAATCATTGGACCCGATAGTGATTACATAGAGCTATCTCTTCTCAAATGTATTATAAGCATCAACAATTGAACTCGTATAAATAAAAAGTCTATCGCTATGGTTTTATGCTATATAAGAGGTCAATTACACTGAAAAGTACATTTAAGTACTAAATCGCAAATGGAGATTGAATTATCATTTTGAACAAGTAAAACTGAATTTGAATAGTGTCTAGATTAAAACACAATATTCCATTACACTATCATTCACTTGGTATTGTTGTTGATGTTTAGCACTGCAATTGATTAGTCTCTTATAGACATACTGAGTACTAAGTGGATAATGCGATGATGCTTGAAGCAAACAGTACTGCGTTCAAGTTCTAGAGTGAACATCAACTCTGAGATGCAGGCACATCCAGCTGACGAGTCCAAAATGGGACAAAACTCGCTTCAAACTGGATTTCACTGCTAACCACTATCCATCTTTTCAGGTATATTGGTTGCTATAACGATTATAGTACATTTGTTTTATTCTACTTTGTGAACAAATATTGAACTTTCACAAATTATGTGTAGGGAAATGTATGTAAGTGTTATTATACACACGAATGGATGAATTAAATATTTAGATTTATACTTATATTTGTTTAGGGTTAGTTCCTTTGGATATATGTACTACTAATGATTAACATATATAACCTGGATGTATGAGAAACTAAGAAGTAACAGTGTCGGACGAAAGATTCTCTTTACTGAGCTGTCTCAATATTCTGTTGACTACTATCTCTGGATAGATCAATTATTCTAGTCAGTAAAATTACTACCGATGTCGAAAGCTGTTATTTGTAGCTTCATTGCATACATCCCTGAATACGTCTTTAAATGTTTGAGAATTATACTTCTTCTTATTGTTTTACCTTTCGTGATGTATTTAGATTTTGACTGTCCTTTGACATCCAATTAACATAAACATATCCAATAACTAATTATTTATTTAAACACATGAATATTAAGACAAGAAGGCACTGAATACATATACGCTATATTTCATCATTCGATTTGTGTGTGGGTTGTGATACTGCTCGGATACCA